TTGATTGATTTGCGAATGTTAAACCATCCCTGCATACCTGGAATAAATCCCACTTGATCATGGTATATAATCTTTTTAATGTATTGTTGTATGCGATTTGCTGGTATTTTGTTGAGGATTTTTGCATCTATGTTCATCAGAGAATCACATCTTTATTTACTGTTTTGTAGACTTAATTTCTTCCAAAGGAGATTATAATTAAGTAATTACACGAATTAAGCCCTGGTGTACCTTCTTATAACTACTGCAGATAGATAACCCTTAAGGGCAAAACCAGGGCACTCTTAAACAGAATAAATACTGAGAGGAAGTGGAGATACATAGTTTAGAAACAGCAGACTGATACTAGGGCAGACAATTAATATTCTATTTATATTATACTTTTTATATCACAGTGAATGAAACTGTTAAGTAATTGAATATCAACAACAAAACCAAACAATCACAAATTAAAAAACAGGAGGGATGGGCAGACAGTAAAAAGCCATAAGGTACTCTTGATTCTCATCACATTAAATATACAGCTTTTGGTAATAATATATATTTGGTAATTCATAAAATACATGAATTTTAACCAATTCAAACAAAAGCATCCAATTAACATGCTGTTAATTTGCAAAGTAAATATTGCAACAGTATAAAGAACAACACTCAATCACAGTAAAAGCTTGACCCACGATTATATATCACTATCTGAATTTCTCCAAATTTTAAAAACACATTCATGTAATGAATCAGACTCTTAAAGGCTTTAGATTATGTTTTTCTCTGTGTGGTAAAGTTCTCAATAGACATTAGAAAATAGAAAATTTATCATAGGATATTTAGTTATTCTCCCATTAGTAAAAGGACTATTTTCAATAATTAGCATATGTTCTAGGATAATAGTTTATTGTTCTTTGTTGAGGATAGTAAGTGAAATCCTCTTTCACTGAAAGACTGTTCCATGGAGTAGATAGAAATTTCCCTCTGACAGCCAATCTTAATTTTCTCAAAGGTCATCCAATTACTCCTGGTTGAATCCTCATTTGACACACTAATTTAGAAATGTTTCCTTATTAGTGCTGACATCTCCCAAGTGTTGGAAAGAACTTCACATGCCACATCATTCATTTGAAATGTGGATTCAGAAAGGGGAAAAAAAAAAATCTATGCTTTTAGGTCTTTGGATACAATTTTGTATTATATACATGTATCCTATAAAAGAGAAGATATGTTACAATCAAAAGGCACTACAGTAGCATGAAAAGTCAAATGTTTTTGAGTTCAAATCCTGCATCTGTCTATCAACTGAGAGACCACAAGGAAGTTACGGAGTCTCTCTGAGATTCAATTTCCTCACCTGCAAAAATAAAAGCAACACCTTTGCAGGCTAATTACCAAAATGCAAGTAAATTGCTTGATAAAATATAGATCTGTATGTTGCTATCAAAGTTGTCATTACTATTATGACAGTAAAAATCACTGTAAGACCACATAGATCTACCATGAAATTCACTGTAATCCCCAGAGTAGAAGAATGGCTATTACCCAACTACATCAAGAGCAAGCATAATGAAAATGGAAGGAAAAGTTTGACTGCCCCGTTAGTCAGCTAGTCAAATAAAATATCACTTTTTTTTTTTCAGGAGGAAAGGGAGGGAGGATAGCCTGTGAGAAGGGAACCATTTTCTGCTTTCATTTCAAGGGATCAGAAGAAGAAATCATTTTTGCTGAAATTCCAAAAATTTTCTCTCTTACTTGGTGCCCCAGCCTTTAGCACCTCCTATCTCCAATACATACCACAGGCATCAAACAGAAATATTTTCCTCAAACTTCATTTTGATATTCTCCCTTGCCCTGCCCAGAAGTGTACAAAGGCCCACAATAATCTCCAAGATCCCACACAAACTCTTGCTCCTACTCCTACCCTACCCACCAACCCACTCCTCAAGAACTTTAATCACAGCGACTCTGCCTTATACTAACAAAAACTCAATTTAAGAATGAATTCAAAGTAACTCTTCATACTTAAATTGTAGTCTATTTAAAACACTAAGTAACTCTCATTTAAAACTCACTGATTATATCTTCTGATGCACCTACAAGGCAGAAGACAGCTCATGTATTCCAAAATCTTATTAAATGTGATAGCAATTTACTCATATTGGAAGTACTTTGAAGTACTAATTATTTTCCTGTACTGATGTCCTCTAATAAAATGACTGAGTGACCTAAATGTAATTAATGTAAAATACACTCCATTTCATTTCTTAAGATTTAATTAGAGATCATATTTATATTATACCTACATATTTATTTACAGCGATACCAACTTTACGCTTTTTTCAAAACCAATTAGATTAAGAAAGGAGAGAGAATATCTCTCAAAAGGACTACCGGAACTTATAGCAAATATTATTGTGCTTCTCAAACAAGTACTTGAGTACTATGGTTTCATTTATAGGCTAGATAATCATACCAATTAATTTTCAATCCTTTTAAAGTTAAATTTTGGTAACTTATCCACTAGTAGATAACCTGTGACCTTCTCCTCTCCACTGTCCAGTACATTCCAAATAGAAAGGCAAAGTAGCTAACAAAGTAGATGGAAATAGTGAGTGTTATAAGTGCGTATGTATATATATATATATATATATACACACACACGCCTGTGTGTGCATCTGAATACTTTTGAAATAAACAATACTTTATTGACATTATTAACTATTGAAATTGCTGAATGTAAAGCAAAGTTAATATTTAAAATCATTCTGAGAGTAAATTTGAAAGTAAACAATTAGCTATAAAGATTCACTGTTCATTATTATCAGAATTTTCTAAATATTTCTTTACACACTAGCTCTGACTGACTGCTTTTATACCTCACCTCACTCATCTTAGCCTGAATGTAGAAGCCTTTTCCAAATAATTATTTTCCCTCAGGAAAACTAAGCATCAAGGTGCTTCTCTCCAGGAGGCCAAGTTAGTATTTCAACCTAGAAAACTTTCTTTGGCCTGCTCTTTTTTTTTTCCTACCTGATGCTGAATGCTGAAATAATTCTGTAGATTTTATTTCATCCTATCAGCACCAGGTTTTCCTTTCTCCCATATGGAAGAATTAGAAAGTGAGAAAAAAACTTGCAGGTGGCTAAGATTACCCCTTTTTCCATCTTATATATCTACTTTTCCTTCCCTATCTATGATTAGATTATAGTACAATAGATTTTCTACCTATTTCTTTCTTTCTTTTTTTTTTGTCCCAAGAGTATAAGACCTGGCACTGAGGTGGTACCAAATAAATATCTGATAGATGAATGAATGAATGGGAGTGAAACAACAGTCTCCCCCCTTTTCTTTGATGTAAGATCTTCCAGCCCACAATGTTTAATTAGTTAACCACCAGATTAAGTTATTCAAACACTACTTAACCTCCCAAAACCTTTAAACCATCAGGCAAACTAGTTCTCTAGAAATAATTTTCTGAGTTTATATATCTTAAACTGAATATTTTGAACATATTCATTGAACAAGTTCTTTCTTGAGCAACTATTCTGTCAACTTAAGGTTTGTAAAAGATTTAACGTGGTTTCATTAGCATATTTTTAAATGTACTCCAAATTTATATCTACTTCTATATCCCCTCAACTCAAAATTACTATTGCAGGTGGACTGTATTTTCAAAGGTTATATTGTAAGGAAGCTTCTTCAGAGATAAACAACAACAGTAACAGCAACAAGATTCAGAATTCACTGAATCATGAACAGAGCCAAGCAAAGTGCCTTGCTCACAATAGTGCTTCATCGATATTTATTGATTTGATTGACTACAGGATTTTCTCCATTTTAAAGGGTTCGGGGGTTAATTTTGGGAAAGGTTCCCAGAAATAAGGAATATGAGAACTAAAGAAGGCTTCTATTTTCAATTTAGCACTTATTAATCATCAAAAAGTGGGAGAGTTGGATTTAGAGCTCAAATCTCTTTGAAAGGACCAGTAGTGAGGGCCAGCCCCGTGGCTTAGTGGTTAAGTGCGCGCGCTCCGCTACTGGCGGCCCAGGTTCGGATCCCGGGTGTGCACCGATGCACCGCTTCTCCGGCCATGCTGAGGCCATGTCCCACATACAGCAACTAGTAGGATGTGCAATTATGACATACAACTATCTACTGGAGCTTTGGGGGAAAAAATAAAGGAGGAGGATTGGCAATAGATGTTAGCTAAGAGCCGGTCTTCCTCAGCAAAAAGAGGAGGATTAGCATGGATGTTAGCTCAGGGCTGATCTTCCTCACAAAAAAAAAAAAAAAAAAAAAAGGAAAACAAAGGATCAGTAGTGAAAGGGAGGAAAGGAAGAGATTTTTAATCAATACGAATTATAAATCTTCTGATACATGTATGTAAGCTGGGAGTTAGAATTAATATGTTGTATAAGAGAACAGGGTTTGAAATATCTCTTGGAGCCTCAACTAACCACACACAAGATGGCCTGATAGTATTTTCTGTCTTAAAAAAGAAAACAACAATGACATAAAGATTAGTGGACAATATATTCTGTGGTCTTGCAACTAAAAAATCTCATGCATCAGACTGTATTACTGGAAAAACCAATAGCACAACATTCAGATGTTAGGAAATAATAGTCTTAATGCTCTGACCAGACCACAGCTGGGTAGTATGTTAGGTACTAAGAACTATATTCCAATAACAGTATCAAAATACAGTGATTTAAAGGAGTTTGAATAGAATTATGAAGTGTCTTGAAATGATGACATAGGAAAAAGAATTGAGGAATTGGTAAAGATTTGGCCTTGAAAAAAGAGGTTGAGAAGAAATAAGTTTATGTCCTCATGTATTTGAAAAGCTTCCAAGTAAAAGGGAGGAAATAGGTATAGGTGCATTCAATATTACGTGAGAAAAAAGAAATTAAGTGGAAGCTCTAGAGAACAGAATTTTAATTCAATTTAGAGGGCATACTCTAATAATCAGACCTACCTTGAAACAGAATCTCTCCTTTGATATATATAGGTATATACAGACTTTTATATGTTGCTTTTGAGAGAAACTAATATATATATACACACACACCAATTTAAGTTATTTATATATATATATATATATACACTAAGTCATACATATATACTAATTTATTAAAGCTTTATGGGCCTTTTATATTTTTAATTTTACTCCATATCCCCTTCTAAAATGAGA